ATATATATATTTATAACATATACTATATTATATATATATGTACAGAAGTCTATGGTTTATAAAAAAAAATTAATTTGAGTTTAAAATAATAAATTGTTATTGATCGTAAAATAATATTTTTTAATACTAATTTAATTTATTTATTTAATAGGTTTTTGTGGCAGACTTTAAACGTTACGTGTCAAAATTCTCTATACCAAACTTTTTTCGTTCACTTTTGAAGTCACGCTGTGAGTTGAGGATTTGGGCCACATCAGCTTCATCGATTGTACCTTTAAATATTAAAGGAAAGGGCCACTCATGACATATTGTAGGTCCATTGTAATTCCTAAGTGTATCGATTAACGTATCAAGTCGTTGCACTTCCAGTAAATCTGCATTAAAATCTCTTACTTCATCTAAAAGTTGGGTTACATTTGATTCCAATACCTAAAATATAAAAATAATAAAATTAAATAAAATAAATTTCAAAGAACTCATATATGACTAATAACTTTTTTGTTTTCAAAAACACTAATTTTGTTTCTATTGTTGTTATTTTTTAAAATTTAATATTATATTTAATTGTAAATCAGGTTTGTTAATGAAAGAATATGATACATTTGCTTTAATACTTTATTTAGCATGACTCTTAAATATAATATATATAGGTTAATAAAGACACTACCCAGTGGGAAATCGATCGTTCACTTATTCTCTTCTTTTATTTTAAAGACATTTGCGAACTACCTGAGAAACAGGACCACAGAATCAATGAATATGAATCCCTGTATTCAAACCTTGAAATTCAATGGATGAAACTGATTCGATCGTATAGTTTTGTATAAAATATTTATGATTTAGCTGCATTTGCTTTGTTTGAGTTTAATTCATATTAAAGATTTGAGAAAGTTGGTTCGTACGCTAAAAAGAAAAGTTTTTACATTTGTATTGTTGGGTTTTGCTCTCTTGTATTCCTTAAAAATATATTATCTCTCAATTAAAATCAAAATTTTAAATAATGATATATAACCTAAATTGAAGACAATAGAAAAAAATAGGCATCATAGCGGTTGTCTATGAAGACGCCTCAAACAAAATATACAAGTCATGTGTCCGACAAGTACCAACTTATGTGGTAGAGATTAGAGCATTCATCATAAATACGCAGTAGATATTAAAATCAATATAAACTTTTTTGTTTTTGTTTTATCATATGACCAATTTGTTAAAATTATAAATATTACATTATAGAAAAAAGTCTCCAGAAACAAATCTCCAAGAAGATTGTCGAAATATTGACACATAATGTATAGATCAGGATAAATTCCATTTTTCTATTTTTTACACTTAATAAGTCTGTGGTCAAATATAGTCTTATATATGGTAAATAAATATTACAGTTAATTGTGGAGTGCCAGATTTGAAGACGGGAAATTTTTATTGTGTCTCAGTGTATATTTTATATAAACAATGGGACCTCCATTGCATATTTTCTTAAGTTTGATGATGTCTCACATATGTTATATCACATATCTACGATATGTCATCAAATTATTTCTATTGTATTAAAAGAATACTACTTTCATATATGCATATTTGTAAAATGTAAATAATGTAAATAATACTAAGTATTATTTATACTGAAAAATTATGTCTTCATGTCGATTAATTTTTAAAACCAGTTTTCAGTGGTCTTATTATTTTCATTCAATTATGCCAACCATTCTTTTGGCATTAATACCCTGCAAATTATCATCCATTAATTTACGGAGGCGCTAAAGTACGTCCAAATATTATTGAGAACATGTGTGCAAGTATTTACCAAAAGTTGTTATTTCAATCGGCTTAAATCAGCTTCAGTTTAACCAAAAAGTGTCAAATTTCAAAGGCAAATAATGTATGAAGAGAGAAGAATACAGTGGGGCAAAATTAATGAATTATTTGTTGTAAAATTATTTCTATGAAATAATATTATTATATCACTTCACTGCTTTTGCTTAGTAAATATGTATGTACTAATAGCTTAAGAAACAAAAAGGGATACTTATTTCTATTATCGTATTTAAAAATTCGTGCATTCAGTATTGATAATATATATGTATATGGATTTAAGTATGAAATTAATAGTTTTGGAATACTTGCTTCCGTTTCCTCTTTTTATTCTTTCTGCTCTTGCGATGCTTTGTATAGATACTGATTATATAAGTTTTTCACTTAACTGATAGATGCAAAATTGTATGGCTGAATCTTTTCAATATTTAATATTTTTTAACATATTTTTACATAGTTTAGTATTCTAATTAATTAATTTAGCGATGGGTATGTATTGGCGTAGGTTATTAATTTAGCACAGTTCGTTTTTTAATGTGTTTAAAAACCACAAATAAAAGCAAAACAATATATAACAATCCAAAAATGGCGATCCGTGTTATACCATATAATACTTTTTGCATTAACATATTTGTGTTTTTCGCAACATTTTAACTAAAAATGTTTTATGAAAGGTTTTCTTCAAAAACCACTTTTCTTTCTTACACACAGTGAGTTTTTCCTTTCCATTTTTTCTCTATTTATTTGTTAAAATTTAGTTCTGTTTACTTTTTCAAAGTGGTTTTTGTAGCTAATGTCATTCTAACGTTAAAACCAATATAGGAGTTGTGAGCAATACTTGGGTGTCCTATATGAGTGGTTTAGGTATAAACATTATTGCTACTCCAACTAGTCTTTTTATTCATTATTTTTGCTGCCACTTAACTACATAAGCAAGTCGAAAATTAAAAATTAAGTGACTTTTCAACTACAAGAGTAGTGAATAATACAATTATATTGTATGTTTGTTTCAATAACGTTGCTCATATATGCTTATAAAAAATATCATTATTAGTTATAAAATTGAAAATTAAGGCTACAAAATAAAAATTTTCCTCGAGACGAGATTCGAATCTTGAATATTTTCCTTTATGACTAAACATTAAGCCGATGAAATCTTTGCAATTTTTGATTTTCTCTGTCGTATTGTTTTTTTACCTAATAATAAAAATAATTTTTCAAGTTAATTTTGATAAATAAATAAAAATTAAAAAAAGAAACTCATTATGTATTGAGGACATTTTCAACCGCTGACTTGATTCCTTTTGCTAAAAACTAAAAAGTTTTTATACCGATTTTGTCAAGTATGTCACAGACGAAATAGTTAACATATTTTCTAAATTTTTACACATTTTATACGCAAAACGCGTATCTACAGATTCCATTAGAAAACTGAATAAAAGATAGATCAGTGAAATATATGAAAAAAATATGATAAATAATAAAGAAAAATGATTGGAGCAAAAAGTATATATATTTTTGTTACATTGCAAACATATTTTGCTTCACAGTGCAACAAGTTTTTAAAAAACGAAACAAAAAAATTAGTTTTGCTATGATTCTTACACCTTTTAGCTGTTTGTACTATTGAGGTTAGTAGTAAATAACAAAAGGTAACAAAAAAATGAAAAATGTTGTTGAAAAAACATTAGGGTAGCATTTCGATAAATACTATTTTTTAATTAAATTAACTTAATGTTAAAATATAATTTAAGTGTTTTATTATAATTTGATTTATATTCATATACGTAAAGTTGATTTATTAAATATACGCTTAAAAAATATATGATAATGAATATAATTTTAATGCCATCAATTTATTTTTTAATTAAAATTATTCAAAAAAAATTATTTGTTTGTTATCTTTAATAAATGCTGTAGTTTTCATTAATTATTCATTTCTTAAATACATTTTTTTTGAATTGTTTTACCAATAAAATTGTGGTTTTTGCTATTAACTAATCAATCGCAACAATATTTCACATTAAGCAAATGTTTGTAACATACGCTTGAATAACAGTTAACCCGAAAAGTAGGGTTGTTGCGAGTGACAATTCTTATTTATTCGGCTTTTAATATTTTATATTATTTAAATAATATACTTAATTATTTTATAATTTATAATAATATAAGAAAATATTTTGGTGGTGTAGTTCACTACTATTCGAAACCTCCCCATTATTTAAATAATGGGGAACATGGTCTTTAAAGTTATATTATAAACTGATTATAAAATTCTACATTAAATCTACAGATGCTATGAATTTATAATTAAAGCTGGGTTAACTAAGCGATATTTTCACTCCATGTTTTTGTTATCTTAAAGGGGTTCCAGCACCTTTTTCACTTAATTCTATATTTTGTTAGAAATAATATATATTGCTTGCACTATTGATGTAAAATGGACTATAATGTACTGGATTAAGTGTTTCAGTATTTTAATATATTATTATTCATTAAAGTAAGTTTAGTTAAAAAAACAATAACAAAAAACTTCTAAATTTAAAATTGATTTTGTGTATTTGTAATATTAGCTAAAAGATTTTAATGATTAATTTTATTAGACACTGCAACTTCTAAAATAAAGTATCAAAAAAAAATATTCGTTTTATATTTACTTTTATATTTAGTAAAATATTTATTATCTATTTAATTAAAAAACCATTGGTGTTTTTTCATCTCATTAGTTTATAAATAATTGTATGTACATAAAAATGCATTCATGTAAAGCGTATGGTGACGTATACGCTCAGACGATCTTCGATAACCGTTATTGGTGAGTTTATTTTGACAGTTGTTTCAACAATTGCTCTAAGTTTTATTTTTTTAATCGCAGCGTCGTGGTCATTTGTCGAAGAATTTTCATAAATCCGCGTATAATTAACATAAAAGTGATAAAGTAGTTAATTAGTTTTTATTAACAAATTATTCATTCGACAAAATTCATTTTATTATTGTTTGAAAATGTGAAGTTTAAATTTGAAATGGTGTTAAAAGAAATCATATTATAAATATATAAATATTTTGAGTGATTAAGATTGATTAATACTTGTTTACGTATCCCTGCATTGTGTTTAATTTGTAATTTTATGAATTGTGTTAAAAAACTAATACTGTTAAGCATTTTGCACAAAGAACTGATTTTCTTAAGTCGTTTAATTATACACATACATATTTATGATGCAAAATATATTTCAGTGTAGCATTCTCAAAGTCTCGGTAAGTTTCTTATGTTTTATAATTTTTATTTAGTTATTTATAAGAAGAAGTTTTAAAAAAGCTTTTTTTTAATTTTGGATTAATAAGTTTTAAATCAAAATCTAATCTTTGTGAAAGCTTAGCATATATTTTTATATGTAAATATAATTTTAAAATTTTTCATGTAAGTATAATGTTCATATGTATACGTATATGTATATAGTATGCATATTCAATGATGTCAATGGAAGAAGAAATAATAAAATAAATGAATGAAAGAACATGAATAATAGGTGTCTGTCATAATAAGTGCTTTAAACACACGATTAACGAGAGTTTGGCAGTTTAAAACTAAGATTCTTTTCAGAATAACGGACATT